TAATATCATTCAGATGACCAAACTTAAAATGAGAATATAAGGGAGTCTTCTTAATGATAAGTTTATCAACAGGCATTGGATTTAAATCCTTTCCAGAGGAAGATTCATATCCAATTCCTTTCCTGTTGTTTCTGCTAACTCCATAGATCATTGAAGCCATCTTGCTTCTATCTATGCTTTTAGCCAGAAACTTCTGAAAGCTGAAGTCATATTCTTCTAAAATATTTTTTGCATTTTGACTTAGTTTCAGATTCAAAGTCTTGTTGAGCTTTTTCAAAATTGTTTTTCATTTTCAAATTGTTTTCTTTGAGCTCAGCAACTTCTGACTTTAACAGGTTATTCTCAGATTTAAGATTGCATTTAAGCTTCTTGCATTTGAGCTTAATCTGGTTATAGTTTTTCAGGACTTCTGATAAAACTTTAATAAGTTCTTCCCTAGAGAGATCAGAAAGTACCTCTTCTGAGTCAGATTCAGAATCAGATTCAGATCCAAATGATCCTTCATCCTGATCTTCTACTCCTGCCATCAATGCCATGTTGCCGCATTCTTCTTCTGACTCTGATGAAGATTCAGATGCATCTGAATCATCCCATGTAGCCATCAGAACTTTCTTCTTATGCTCAGGCTTCCTTCTAGGCTTTCCCTTCTCAAGCTTTGGACATTCATTCTTGTAATGGCCGGGTTCTTTGCATTCAAAGCAAACAACCTCCTTCTTTCCAGATCTTTTGTGTCCAGAGGACTCTTTGCATTGATCTGGCTTCTTGAAGTTCTTGAACTTTCTCTGTTTGTGCTTCTAGAGTCTGTTGATTCTTCTGGACAGCAAGGACAGTTCATCTTCTTCAGAAGAAGAAGACTCTTTAGAACTTTCTTCTAACACCTGCAAAGCTTTCACAGATTTGTTAGACTTTAAAGCAATTGACTTACCTTTCTTTTGAGGCTCGTCTTCTTCAAGTTCAATTTCATGGCTCCTCAGAGAGCTGATTAGTTCCTCCAATGTGATCTTGTTCAGATCCTTAGCTAGCTTCAGAGCAGTGACCATTGGTCTCCATCTGATGGGCAAGCTTCTGATGATCTTCTTCACATGATCAGCAGTTGAATAGCCTTTGTCCAGCATTTTTAATCCAGCTATGAGGATTTGGAATCTAGAGAACATAGTTTCTATAGATTCAGATTCTTCCATTTTAAACGCTTCATACTTCTAGATCAGTGCCAGAGCCTTGGTATCTTTAACTTGTGAGTTCCCTTCGTGTGTCATCTTCAAAGACTCAAACAAATCAAATGCAGTTTCTCTGTTGGTGATCTTGTCATACTCAGTATGAGATATTGCATTTAATAAGATTGTTCTAGCTTTGTGATGATTTCTGAACTCCTTCTTTTGGGCTTCAGTCATATATTTTCTATCAATTTTCTTGCCATCCCCATCAGTGGGGTGAACATACCCATCAATGACTAAGTCCCATAGATCAGCATCATAACCAAGGAAGAAACTCTCTATTTTGTCCTTCCAATAGTCAAACTTCTCCCCATCAAACATAGGGGGTTTTGTGCTGATTCTATCCCTTTCTTCATATCTGTTGTTGTTGCTAGATGTTGAAGCTTCAGCCATAATAACAACCAAGAATGTATATCAAAGTTTTCTCACTGGATCTTTTCTGTTCACGGTGAAGTGATAGCATACACAGAACCGGAGCTCTGATGCCAACTGAAAGTGAGAAAATACTTAGAAGGGGGGTTGAATAAGTATATAGAAATTATTATGGCAATAAAAACACAAAGATTTTTATCCTGGTTCATTGAACTCAACTACTCCAGTCCACCCTATCAAGAGTGATTTGCCTTTCTCCACAAGGACTTAATCCACTATTAATCAAACTGATTACAATAGCAAACACTAAGAGCAACTGTTCTTAGTCTTCTCAAGAACTACTGACCACAACTGGGTCTTCTCAAGGAACTTTTACAATCAAATGTAAAACTAAACAAGTGTTTGAATACTTCTAAAAAAGCTATATCACAACTGTGATTTACACTTAAGTTTAAGAACGTATGAAATAAATTCAGCAAAGAGAATAATTTGTATGAGAGCTTTTCAATGAATTTCTTTCAATAATCGTCAACTTGAGAAAGATGTTAAAGTCTTGCTTTTATAGGCACAGAAGTCCAAGATGTTTGCAAGCTTGAAGACCGTGTCTGCAAATTAGCTGTAACCTTTTTGTCTTCACATCACTTGACCTTTCCTAGAAGTAGAATGTTCAGAGAAATCCTTTTTGCCTGAATTCTTGTGTCTAGCATAAAAGAGGAAAGAGTCGTTTGGCATAACCAACGGGTATATCTTCAAATAATCTTCTTCAAGTTTCTAATTCACAGCAATTAACATCAGAGCCGTGAGTGATCAGAGTCTTGATGTCTTCAGAGTTTGCTGTATCAGAGTGTTACAGCAAGTGTGCTTTAGCGTGAGATTCATTAGAGCAGAGTTTAGGGATCAGATCCTCAGTACTTGCAGCGTAGAGTACTATCAGAGTCTTCTGAAAAACTATGCTTGAAACTCTTCATACAAAGTCTTCAGTATATGCTTCAGATGCTTCTGTAGCTTCTGCTTCAGATCCTTCTGTAGGCAGCGCTCAGAGTCTTCTGTAGGCAACACTCAGATTCTTCTAAGAGATGCTTCTGACGCTTCTGAGCCTTGCATAGTTCAACGTTCAGATCCATTTTTGCTTTCAGAAGAATATTAAATTTAATATCTGCAACAAAAATACTTGAACAAATTTAGAGTATATAATTTCTTAATACAAAATTTTGTAAGTGTTATCATCAAAACATAGAGATATAACTAAGAACCAATCTGTGTTCTAACAATTTCCCCCTTTTTGATGATGACAAAAACATAAGAAATTTTGTTCCATAAAGAGATAATTATAACTCCCCCTGAGATTATGAATCTCCCCCTGAATTGAATACTTAGAAAGACTAGAAACTTCCCTTTTTGCATGAGTATTCTTTTCAGAATCAGAGCTTGATTGTTCCAAAAAAATAGAGCTTGACTTGGATGAACGTTTCAGAATCAGAGCCTGATTGGTTAAAACTTGATCTGGGGATCTCAGAGTTACTTTAAAGAATTTTGTCAGATTTTTCATTAGTTCTGAAATACTAAAAAATTCACGTTAGATATAATTTGATATGTCTGATGCTCCTAGAATGATAATGGAATCTAGGGGTCAAAATTTAGGGTATGACTATGAGAAATCAAATTTTTCATTTCAGAGCAATTCTACTTAAATCAATCATCCAAACACATCACAAATCATCCTTTGAAGGTATTCAAATCTTCATCTTCATTCCAAACCACCAAAATCAGAAAGTCAACTATCAAAACCTCATATCTGTGACTTTTTGCATTTTCAAAGTCATGTCTTGGTTTTGTTTATTTCAAAATCATCCAACACTTCAAACACACTCTAAATAACATCCTTGAACTGTTCTAACAAAAGTTTCTCAAATGTAACATCATTTGGTGGAGTTTCCATTTTTGCCACACTTCTTGTTGATAATGATTCTGCGATAAACCTTGCAAAGAATATGATTGCACACGAAAGAAGCAAGCATATAGAAATGCGGTTTCATAATTTGAGAGAGCTAGTGAGTGAAGGCAAGCTAAGATTGAGATATTGTCAAAGCGAAGAGCATGTTGCGGATTTATTCGCTAAGGGAGTAACAAATGAAGTGTTTAAGAGGTTGTAGCGGAATTTGAGCATGGTGGACTTAGACCAACTAAAATGAGGTGGTCTGTTGGAAAGCAGTTTTTTAACATTTCAATTAGTGTAACCGGTTACTGGATATGTGGTAACCGGTTACATGCTTTTTGAACTAGTAATTGTGGCTAGAGGTCTTCGTGGTAACCGATCACCCCAAATATGGTAACCGGTTACAATAGACGTTTTTTTTGTGTAATTAGCTTATTTTTTATGTTGTTTTGATTTTCTCAATTATTTGTACTTGTTGTATAAATTGCCTTTAGTGCTCCCATTTGTGGCCAATGAAAAATATAATTCTCACCCTCAATATTTCTCTCTCTATTATTTCTCTTTCAATTTCAAATCTCTAAATTCTAATTTCCACCATTGTCCCTAAATGAGACTTTATTTAAAAAAATATATATTAAGTGATTTGTTTGAAATTTTAATATTAAAAAAAAAATTATATTAAAAGGTTGATATACGAAAAATAACATTTTAAGAATAACTGTTTAAATCAAATTTTTATTTGAATTTTATTTAGTAAAAATATATAAAACTATAAAAATCATTTAAAAAGACTTAAACAATTGACCCAATATCTTATAGAATTTTTGGTTTAAACATCTCGTAGAAAGTCATTTTAAGCATTATAACTTTTTACTATGTTTTTTAATTGATGATAAGAAATTAAAAAAATTAAAATGAATATTTTAAGAAATTTTTCACTATGTTTATATAAAAGGATTCAATTTTTATAATGCTAAAATCTCTAACCATAAATATTTAAGTTTTTTAATGTCAAAATTTTTCTTTTGATTTACTGTCAAAATTGTACCTTAATATTCTAGAAATAAAGTCATAGAAAGCAACATAAAATTGTAATATATTGAATTCATTTAATGACTTACATAATGTGGGTAAACATTTTCTCTTTTTTTAATGAGAAAATTTCTCTTAAATTTAGACAAACACTCTTAACTAATTTAAATAGAAAAAACAAATACAAGAACATTGTGGAAAGACAAAGTTGAATTGAAAAAAAAAAAATTATGTAAAACGATAATAGAGATATAAATATTCATGTATGCGTAAGGAAAAGGTCACGAAAAAATACTTAAAATAAAGAAATAAATATAACATGAATAATATTATCGATGCAATTATTTAATTGTTTTATTTTACATTAGTTTAAAATACACTAATTCAATGGATATCGCTTTTTTCAAATGTTTTTAAATTCGTTAAAAAAATAGATTCCTTGTGCGCTAAATGCTGCGATGACATTTAGATGTGCATGTTGTTTTATCCTTAGTTGATTCGTAAACTATGAAATTTTGTTGCTTGTTGTTCCATTTTATCTCACATGAATAGAGAATAATGTTGTTGGCATTTGCATTGAAAGACCATTCCACAAATTGTCCACTATGAAGTGTTTTTTCTCCAAGATCACTATTTGATGATCGACAATGTAAAATAAGAACAGTGTCAACTTTCAAATCATTTTCAACACGTACATTTATCTTTTCTCCACTCATCTGATCTTTGTGACAATGAACATGACCAATTGTCAT